CGAGACATGCGTTTCATCACATTGCAATTTCCAAATCAGCTACAAAGTAAGTTCGTAACTGATTTTACAAATGAATTGTTCAAAAGAGCAAACTTTTTCAAAAGAGTCTAAACCCAATATGACAATATCATGGCCGGTTGAATCAATTCCAAAAAGAATAAGTTCCAGTGTCTCTTTTATAGTTCATATTTATGAAATATCTAGAAAAACGTTCAGTTTTTTGTACTTCAAACGGCATTCACAGACCAAAATAATGAAAGCTGCTTTATTTTTTTTTCAATTTTGGAATCTAAAAAGTGATATCTTTCAAAAAAAATGAAACTATAATAAATCANAAAGCTGCTTTATTTTTTTTTCAATTTTGGAATCTAAAAAGTGATATCTTTCAAAAAAAATGAAACTAATAAATCAATTTCAATTAAAAGTGGTACATGCATTCACGCTATAAAAGTTATGTACAGTTCTTTCAATCTTTTTTTGTGATTTTATAGCATGATCCAAAAATGTTCACTTTCAGTCTAAGATAGAAATCCAAACGATAATTCGAGAAGAGATAAATTTCACAATCGAATTTTTTTCAAATCTTTCCAAAGCCAACTATTTTATTTAGAGTATGGATTGTTTACAATACTGTAACGAATCTGAAACCGCCCCTGACCGATATGTCGGCCAGCGAACAAACACATGACATCACCGCAAAAGGAATGCAGTCGGCAACCGCCGGTAAAACTCTAGTTGAGTACCGAAACGACTACAGAAACTGCAGACAAATCATAGCTCTCAAAAAGAAATCGATTGAAAAACAGTTGTTTATATTGGAAAGATTTTGGCTTTCTTCTCCAAAAATGTGTGAATCTCCCTTCATGTAATTCCATGTTTGTATGAAAGTAGTTGTTTTGAGAGGGCTTTTTCTTCCAGTTTGTGTCTGAATGCTACTTCTTTGCATGAACAACACATCTTTGAACTTTCTTCTATGGAACAGTTTCAAATTTTTAAGGACAATGACATGAAAGTGTATGCTAGTGAGACGACTAAGTTGCTTGGACTAACAATCCACTAAAAATTGTGCTGGGAACCACACGTCGATATACTTTGTAAAAAGTTAAGAAAAAATTGTTATGTGTTAATGTTCTTATCAAATCATTGTCACGAAAACATACTATTAATCGTTTATTATGCAAACATCAACTGTCATCTGCGATATGGTATTCTTAATTGGAGTACTTGTACCTCTTGGTCACGTGTTTTTGATCTGCAAAAATTTGCTGTGAGAATTGTTGCAGGACTAAATTGGAGGCAGTCATGTAGAGAGGCTTTTAAGCGACTAAAGATCTTAACTTTGACAGGCTTGTATCTGTATGAACTGTGTATATATGTATACAAACATAAAGATAAATTCTTCAATAGAACAGATCATCAATATGACACTAGATCCAGAAATCTT